GGATGGCCCTTGGGGTCTCTTCCAACTCTATGATTCTATGATCTACATGCAGCTATACCTCTTCCATCAGGTCCCTGCTCCACAATTGCCTCCACTTCTCATACACTCTTTCCCAGCTCCCTCTTTTTATCCTGTGTGTGCTAACATGCTTTCACACCTCATTAGTTTGTGTTGGAAAACCAAGCATTCTCTCTCATCTCCCCCTCTTTGCATTTAAAGCAATTGGGGATTTTAGATAGTACAAGGCCCCCTGCACGCCTGCACCCATTTTGAGTTGCTTAACTCAAGCTTCTCCATTTGCTTACCTACCTATTGCAATGCATGGTCATAAATACTTTGTGCAGCTAAGCACCTAGACCATGGGATCCCAAAAAAGTCTAGGGTCAGAGGTCGTATAAAAACTCCTCCCTTCTATACGTCTCTCTCTCTCTCTCTCTCTTCTTTGATCTCAACCCTAGGAGGTGGTGAGTTAAAAGTTTTAAGCTCACATAAGCTTTTCATTATTTAGTTAGGATGTAGGAACTTCAAGTGCATGTAGCAATTAGTAATTAGCAATTAGCAATTAGTGCTTTGAGCATTGGACTGAGACTACATCAAGGACTATGACACCAGTCAGGAGAACAACACACAAGGATCACTCCTGTCTCCACAACACAACTGTAGAAAGTACAGCAATATTTCTCAGACTCAGAAAAAGAAGAACTCCACATGGACTCCTCCTGATGTGTGAAAGGGATCTAGGAGTCCTAGTAGACCACAAGTTGAGCATGAGTCAACAGTGTGGTGCAGCAGCTAAAAAGGCCAATGCGAGTTTAGGCTGCATCAATAGAAGTATAGTATCTAGATCAAGGGAAATAATTGTGGCATTGGTCAGGCTCCACCTGGAATAATCCTGTCTCCAGTTCTGGGCACCACAATTCAAAAAGGATGTTGAAAAACTGGAGTGTGTCCAGAGGAGGAAGACCAAAATGGTGAAGGGTCTGGAAACCATGAATCCCTATGGAGAACGACTTAGGGAGCTGGGGATGTTTAGCCTGGAGAAGAGACGGTTAAGAGGGGATATGATAGCCCTCTTTAAATATTTGAAGGGATGTTATATTGAGGATGGAGCAAGCTTGTTTTCTGCTGCTCCAAAGAACAAGACCTGGAACAAGGGATGCAAGCTATGGGAAAAGAGATTCCACCTCAATATTAGGAGGACTTTCCTGACAGTGAGAGCTGTTCAGCAGTGGAACACACTCCTTCCTCGAAGGAAGATGCAGTCTCCTTCTTTGGAGGTCTTTAAACAGAGGCTGGATGGCCATCTGTCAGGGATGCTTTGATTGGGAGTTCCTGCATGGCAGAGGGTTGGACTGGATGGCTCTTGGGATCTCTTCCAACTCTATAATTCTATGATAACCGGTGCATGGAACTAGACTTCTATATAGAATGCTTCTGCTGCCATGCCCAAACAGAAATAATCAATGAGAGAGACTTCAGAATATCAGAAGGGGTTATGAGGCTTTGGGTAGGAAGCTGAAAGAGCTGGACGCAGAGGTTGTTATCTCATCTCTTCTCCCAGTTAAAAAGCATGGTCCAGGAAGGGAGAGGAAGATGAATGACTGGCTCCGTAGATGGTGCCACCAACAACGATTTGGAT